AAAAAAAACATTTTCAGAAAAAGAAAGTCAAAATTAAAAATAAGAAATAAATAGGAAAGTTATGGATTGGTTTCTTAAACAAGTATATTTATTTATATATAAAATTTATATGTTATAATTATATAAAATTTTGATTATTTAATTTTTATTTTTAATAATTGAGATTTATTATGTTTTTTAAATAAAAAAGATAATTGTACTTATTAAATATAAATAAATTTCACCTATTAAAAGTGAAAAAATAAATATTTAAAATTTTATATAAATATTAAGTATATAATTTCTGTATAAATAAATTTTTATTTTTTTAAAGGATTATTTATGAAATAACATAAAAAAGAATAACACAAAAAAAGGAATACTAAGAAAAAAAATTAAATTATTTTTATTTAGTCACACCGCCGGGTTGTTACTAGTGAACATCACATCAACAGGTCATGTGGGATATTTGTTGGGTTCGGCCGTTTGGGATTTAAGAAAGCAGTTATGGTTAGACAGTTTTTTTTTTTTTTTTTTCTCAATTGTTATATGATTTAATATTTTATTAATTTATGCCAACCGGGCCTGTGGCCCAATTGGTTGGCCCTCAAACTTTAGGGCTTGGATGAGACGGAAATCAGGGTTTCAAGCTCTGCCACCGTCGTGAACTCCACAACTTGCGACCTAATGATCACGCGCCTCAAATGAGGGGGTGGAACGTTCACTTTTCTGAAAAAATTTCAGCTGCTAACAAACTAACTCTACTAACTTCCTAATCATCTACCTGGTCAAAAAAAAAAAAATTTTATTAATTTATAATTTTTATTAAAATTAAGTATAATATTTAATAATGAATTAATTTTAATTTATTAAATAATAAATATAAATTTTTTATTAATTATTCATTATTTTTAATAATTCAATTAAAATAAAAATTAAACAAATTATGTGATCCCAACAAATGATTATATAGTTTTTGATCAGGAAACATCTTTTTGATTAATTAATACCTATTAATTTAAAATTTTTTGTTCAAAATCAAAATTAGAGATTAAAATTTTTGCAACATTTTATTATATTTGTTGATTTAGTGTTATTTAGTTTGTCTATATTCTTGATGTCCGTCTATTTAATTCCCAAAGGTATTCTCAATTCCCTTGATAAGATTCGCAGGGGTTTATCATGGGGGGTATGGATGAGAGAAGGAAAATTAGTTGGGTAAGGTGGGAAAGGGTTTGTAAGGCAAAGGAGGAGGGTGGGTTAGGTGTGAAAGACTTGGAAGGTTTAATTTAGCTTTACCTTGGAAAGTGGTGGGGGCGGCTAGCATCAAACGAGGATGGCTTGTGGAAAAAAGTTATTATGGAGAAATATGGTGGGGGTGGCAGGAATTGGTTGGGTGAGTGAGGGTAGTGAAGTAGGCATTATGGGGGGAAGGATACATGCAGACTAAACATGGTGGATGACGAAAGAATGGGATGGCTGGTAAATGGGTTCAAAATTAGGCTAGGGAAAGGACAAAATGTGAGGTTATGGCGGGATAATTGGTGTGGGAGGGATGCCTTGTTAATAAACTTCCTAGGTTTTACTTGTTATCTACAGGAAAGTAGCATAAAGTCTGCCAAATGTACAAGTGGTGCGACGGTTCATGGCAAAGGAACATTCAGTGGAGGACACCATTACTCGGATGGGAGGAAGACCAGACCAAAGAAATATTTACTGAACTAGAAGCGGTGCGGTCTGCTCCTGATAATCCAGATACACGTGGGTAGGGACGGAGTCAGAATATAATTTTAGGGGATGAAGTGCTATTTGAAATGTATATACTAAAAATAAATTTTTTAACGTATAATTTATAAATAAAATTAAGATTTAAATATATAAAAATTAAAATTTTAAAGACCTTTAATACAAAAAAACTTATTAAAATTTGTGTATTTTAATTTTAATTCAAAATACAACTTTTATCATAAAATATTATTCAATATTATTCAGATAATAAAACTAAATGTTCTAAAGAATGGATAATACAAATTTTAAGTCAATTTTACTTTGTTATTTGATTCAAATAGTTATTAACTATGCATATATTATAATGACAAATATGTCCAATAAATAAACATATTTTATTAAATTTATTTTACTTATTTTGTTAGTAATTTATCATAAGATTTATAAAAGAATAAAAGTTAAAATACATCATTTTATTTTTTTTCAAAAAGGGTTTATTTGATTTTTTTTAAAGTATAAAAACTATTTAATTTTTTTTTCAAAAGTCTAGGGATGCTAGCGCCCCCTTGCACCCCTTGGCCCGTCCCTGCACGTGGGAATGGATACATAGCAACGATGGTCGATATTCAACGAAGTCAGCATACTCTGTGATCTCAACAGATTCAAAGGGGTTAACAAATCCTATAGTATTCAAGAGTATGGAATCCTACTGTTCCAAGCAAAGTGTCTGCATTCAATTGGCAACTACTGTTGGACAAAATACCTACCAAGCATAATTTATTGAAAAGAAGGATTGTTCAAGATATGGAAGACGGTTTATGTTTTGTGGAGAGGAGGTTGAGGACACCAACCACTTGTTCATCCATTGTTAAGCAACAAGATGGTTTTGAGATGCCTGCGGGAAATGGTGGGAGAGGGCTGCTGAAACGGATGGGCGCGGATTGTTGGAGAACTTTTAAGCAGTATGGTTCATGGATCAAGGAAGCAAGCAAGAGTAAGGGAAAATTGGGATTGCATTTGGTTCACTTTTGTGTTGTCTGTGTGGTTAGCACGCAATGAGATAATCTTCAATGGTTCGGAGGTGAATCAGGGAAAGTGTTTGAACTCATCCAACTGAGATCTTATTCATGTTCATGTTTAGAAGGGTTGGAAAACCAGGTGCCACTTCAATCTTACAGATGGGTTATTAAGTCCTATTGCATGCCTAAGGTTCGGCTTAGACTTTAGGTTGCAGGCCAGTGTACTGATATGTGGGGATTGAGGATCACTTTTTGACGTAAATGGGAGAAAGCACCCTTGAACTCAATTATAAATAGAAAATGTTATTTGGTGTTAAAAAAAAAAATTACAATACCAAACAATTAATTTAAAATATATTGAGAAAAAAATACTTTTGATTCTGTTTGTTTCCAACATGTAAAGAGAGAAGGCAATAGACTAGCTCATAATCTAATGCAATTGCAAACCTCTTCTCCACCACGGGAGGGTGTTTGGTATGAAACTCTCCCGTAAGCAATACGTCAAAAAAAGAAATAAGTTTGCTTACCATTAAGCAATAAAGTTTGCCATTTATAAAAAAGAAAAAAAAAAAAAGGCCATGCAGTCATAGCCACTGTTAGAATTGCCTCCTAAAATGCTATTTCACTCGCTGCACTAATAAAATAATGATTGCTAAATTAATCAATGAAAATTAATAGTATATTTTTTGATTCAATATGCCCATAAATACTTATTGATTTAATTATTAATTTTATAATTAAAATTTTTTCTTTATTTGAATTTAAATTTAAAAATAATAATTTCTTAATAAATATGTTATAAAACATATTAAATTAAAAAAATGTACCACTTATTATTCTTAATCTAAATGTAAAACCATCTCTATCTTGGATGTCGGA